AAATAATGATTGAATATGTTTCCAGTTGTTATTATTGATTAAAATATATAATTCAATAATTAATCAATGGCCTTTAAATGACCGGATCGAACAATACAAAAATGTAAAAAACAGTGATACTCAATCATCTGCAACTTGGTTGAGAGAATCTATTGCTATATGATATTAGTTACCTATCCAGAGAAGGTTTTCTATTCCTTATGGATAAGTTTTCATTACCTGAGGGTAAGGCACTGTGTATTAGGTATTTATCAACAAGAAGACACGTTTGGTTTATAGATATTAATAATTAAATTAAAAATAATACTTAACTGTTTTAGAAGATGGCTGTCAATAATTGAATAGGTGAGTTTATTCGTGTTGATGACTACTTCCAAACTAACTGCCGTGTATCATTTTAATAATAAGTAATAATTGAAACGAGTCAAAAAGTGTTGAGTATGTATATTTTGTATTTGTCAATCATATTGTGTGTGTGTTTAGTGTATAACATCTAAATAGGGTTTAACGAATGTTACACCCTGGGTTAAACCAAATKTAGTRAAATATTAATAATACAATAAATAGTTACCGTATATATCTTTTTATGGAAAAAAAAATGTTCATATTGTTGTTTGGTTATAGCTGGACATTTTATATGCCTAATTTATGGGCATATTATATTATAAAAACCCCCTTGAAATATTTTTGAACAAAATAATATTAAATAGGTTAATTACTGATAGGTATATAACTGATATTTAATCCACTCTAATATAGTATACTGAAGAACATTTGAGATACTCAATATTATAATGATTTATTGAATTATCTATTTTTACAGAAATATCGATAAGARAATATAATGTGAGAACTTAAAAAAAAAAATGATGTTTACAGGCAACGAGCATATTCCATATTATAATAATACTTTATGTCGTTAAAATATATCTAAAGAAACAATTTAAGCGACGACGAAGACAACCATGATGAAGGTATTATTGGTACACGGTACACAAAATACGTCCCGGTAACTGGTTTAAGATTAGCTATGGGTGTCACTTGGTGCCAGTCGTACGTTTGTCAACCCCTTGACGGTCACCACGTGACCATTGGCCAGTGTGACCGTACCGAGCCGGATGACMGCGAGCGCCGTCTCGGCAAGGTCGTACAATACGGTGCCGTGAAGGGATTTCGTCGACTGGCTTTGCATCTTGGAACCCTGCATCATGCAGATGCTGTATATCTGGCCAAACCGACTGAACTCGGCCCAAAAGTCCTTGACATCGAAGCCGTTTGGAAGTCCGGTCACGAGCACGTGATTGTCATTGTTGATACCTGTCGGCACTGTGCATCGTTTTCGGATGGGTGGTGATATATCGGTCAGCGGTTGGGACGACGATTTTGGCTTGCCGTCATCGTTGTCATCGTCTTTGGCGTTGGCAGCGTTTTTTCTGTCGTTCTCGAAAGTCACGTCGTCGAACATGAACACCGTGCCAACGATGGAAAACTTTCTCAACTTGCGCAGCCTGACCACCGTCGACGGGACGAACTTCCGGCCCACTGGAGTGCTTCTCCGTGAGCACATTATCTTGCCGACGACTAACACGACGAACCGATTCGCCCAGACCTGCATCGTGTCCACGGATTTGACGCGCACCCGGCATCGGTCATACCCCATCCGGGCGGCGAACCGTTGAACCGCTTCCGGGCTGTGTGCCGTGATGTCTTCACGCCCGCGCAGCATAAACAGGTGTTCGGACCGGTAACCGTAGAACTGACGCAGCGTGGCCGGGCTGGCCACAAGCGCCGCGTAGTAAGCGTGCGCGAACGCTTTACCGACTACGCCGACCTGTTCGTTGGTCATGGCCGCCCTACCAGAGTCCGCTGCAMCCATCCGGTCGATTTTGAGATCCATTTACCGCCGCAGACCGTGGTTCGGATTTATTTTGGGGGGTTTTTGTTACCCTCTGGTTGTCGTTGTCGTCGCCGCTGCCGCCGCCGCCGACACGCGATTATAATTAGTGCGATGTAATAGCGGATGTGKGGAGATAATTGTAAATGTCTGATGTTCAAACGGTATGTAATTACGAAAACAACAGTATGTGGACGAGTTACATTTGACATTAAGTAAAACTGTCAACTGCAATAGTGTAATCTGTTCGAAGTCGTTGCAGTATATACAATGCGAGTTTCGCGTATTTCTATAGTTACCGCCACTTCGAGTAAAGGTGGTGTTCTCTGAGATATCGACAATCGATCGAACTGGCTAGTACCTATATTATTACGATAAAACTTTTGAGTGCGTCCCGTATGACATCACACGTTTAATAGTATTTTGATAATATTATTTAGGTATTAGGTACACGTTSTTTTYGGAATACAAAATTGACGGTAATTTTGTAAAAAACATTTGAAATAAAAAAAATTAAACACACCTAAATTTAAAAAAAAAATATGTAGGTGTTTTAGATATTTTTTYCTGAACTGTTGGTAAATACTGAGTTATAACTTGAATGGATTCACTAAAATACATGGAAAATCAGTGCAGTCACAACAATGGAAAAAAGTGTTTCACTGTAAGTAATTTTGCAAGGAAAAAATATTGGCAACTGGAAAATGAAAATTTAATCATTTTTTTTTTTGTTATAGTTGTAGTAAAGCAATATGCTGATATTTATGACATGAAATTTCTTTAAAAGTAGTAGTTTATGTTAGATTAAAAAATTGTTTTACTAAAAAAAATTGTCTAGGAATTGATGACATATTGAAATAGAAATATTTAATAAGTGAAGAATGATAGGTAGGTACTAATGTGTCAATCATCATCTCCAAAAAAATRATTATATTTGTTTTAATCAACGAATGTGGTAAGAAGAATTTTTACGACAAAGGTAATTCACCTGCAAAAAAGTGATATCCTATAATACCTTGTCTTATCTGATTGTAACAGACTATTCCGTTAAATTTACAATATGATATAATTACTTATCTCAAGTTGATAAGTAATATTCTACGTGAACGACTGAATAATTATTCAAATATTAATAAATGACAATGAAAAATATCAAAACAAAATAATTAATTGCAATTTGATTTATTTGAGCAATTAATCTATGTCTAATTTATTTGAATTGGTCAGTAACCTATAGGTACAACGTATTGTCGTATTCTAATAATTCCTTTAGTCAGTTGAATAAATAGTAAATGCATATACCTAGGTAGGTAWTAGTCAACAACTATCGAATAACTAATTAGTAGATTATTGATAGCCATATTAATCATTAGTCAACAGTACTAAAACTGGTCACTAATAGTAACGATGAGTTACCCAACTATTGATTAATATAATATTGTGCATCGAAAATTATTAACACATTGTATTTAAATTACATTTTAAAATTAAAATCTAAGCACAT